CCCCAAAACCCCAAAACCCCAAAACCCCAAAACCCCAAAATTTAAATTATCTAATATTTAAATTCATATTTTAAATGAGACTATCTTTGCGGGTACCTCCCAAATACGAATTGTTTGATGCGGAGGATCGTGGAGCAGGAGATGATAAGGAAAATGGTAAGTTATAACCAAAAGCTTGACATAAAGCTATTCAATAAGGCTTAATATTTATCATAATTTTATAGTTAATCAAGTAAACTCTCCTCAGAACTACCGCTCAAGCCCTTACATTAATGAAGTGATTGATTATCCATCAACTCCATTGGAAACTTTAGCACAGGAAAGTATCGAGATCAAAGAAAATATTGAGACCCAATACTCAAATGCCAAGAGATGACTCCTTCAAGTCCAAAATGAAGGAACTGAGGTCTCCATGAGTATATTTAATGACTTAGAGAACCTTAAATAAAGAAAATAGTGATCGAGTCAAGCATCTAGAGGACCTTCTAGCAGAGCTTGAGGAGATAACAGGAGGTACAAGTTTCATCTTTGAGCAACTTGACTCAAAAGTTAAACGGATTCAGCATCTTGAATCATATTTACTCAACATGGAATCTCAAATGCGATCAAAAGGCGACAAAATGTACGCAGAAATTTGTAAAAAGAGGAAAGCTAATGCTGAAATTCGACTTGAAATGGACCAACTATCAATAGAAATTTCTAAATTAAAGCATAAAATGGATACAAACAAGAGTGATATTAAGAAATCTCAGTTAAACACAAATGAAGTCGCCCATCAAATTACACAGAAGGATGATCATATTAAGACATTATCAAAAGAGATCTTTGAAATCTCTGAGAGATTAGATGAAGCTACCCAGATCATTGCCAGGTTGAAATAAGAAGAATAAATAAAAGGGAAAAGGCTATTAATTCTATGTCTTCTAAAGCAGATAAACTAATGAAGGAATATATCGAGACTAAAGAGAAGGCATTTCATGATAAGAATTGACGAATTTTGAACCAAAGAGAGATCAACCTGACTGTTGGCTCTAGGATGGTCGATTTACTTCTGTCAAAAATATACAATAGACAAATGAAGGTCTCTCTCAATTCTATTAAGAATTTCATTAGCTTTGACAAGGAGTTCTTCGAGATGACCCAGAGAATGATCCGTATGGTTGAACGTAAGAATTTGGACAAACTTAGAGAATACTTTGAGACTTGGAAAAAGAAAAAGCTCAAGAATACAGAGATTAAACAACTGATCCAACCTCTGAAGAAGTCTATGAACAACGATCGAGAAAGAGAATGCAGGGATATCTTACAGATGGATGTACTTTATTCGAAAGCAAAATCCCGAAGCTGAAATATGCTGATTGGGGTGAAGCTAGCTAGCATTTTGACGAAAAGATCTCAGTGTAACTTACAAATATCATTTGGAAAATGGAAATCTTCATGTGAAAGATTTAGAAAACAGAAATTGTCCCTAAAAAATCTACTGACTCAGAAGAATTTAAAATTATTATTTTATGGGTTCAAGTCATTATCAGAAGCTTGAAATTTATCGAAGAATCATACTGTGTATTGATCCATCACCTCAAGGTCTTTGTACCTGCAATCAATATTCTCAAGCCTAGTGTTAGCAACAAAAGAAAAGAAGTTTGCGAACGAATCATTAAAATTAAGAGCATTTCATTCTCTAATTTCTTACTGAAAATTTCAAAAATCTATAAGAACCAACGAAAAATTCCTTGACAGAAATATAAGCTCTAGCGAGCCTAGCACAGGTTGGACCAATTTGCAGAGAGATAGACTGAGGTGTGCTCTGAATACTCTTAAGGCCCAGATTATGCATGAAAAACTTGAAGTTAAAAGAAATGACCAGACTACCTTTAAATAAAGAAGCTCAAGTTAACAGCCTCATTCTCAAAGTAAACAGAGAGCGAGTCTCAAAAGTCAGTGATATAGTTGAGACTGCATTCAGAAAGAGAGTCATGAGCTACTACCAACACTGGTACTGAGTAACAAGCGAGAGGGCATGTAGACATAAAGCTTTGACAAGGATCTTATTGATAAGCAGTAAGAGAACTACACAAAGAGCATTCCATACTTGGAGAACCAATCTTGTTCTTGCTACTAGAAATAATTTGAACAATAGTATTGAGGCTAATGATAAAGACAATATTGAAATGATTGACAAATGTAGAAAATTTGTAAAGGGCATCGATCATGATATCCTCTCTAATAAAGCTAAAGCCACCTTCAAAATTCTTAAATTCTCAAAAATCAGGCAGAAGAAGATGTACCAGGTATACCTTAATAAATGGAGAATGAAAATTCAGAGATCCCAACGGGTCAAAAATGCTTTTATATCTCTGCATTTACTGAACAACAAGCTCTACTTGAAAGATGCATTTATGCGGTACAAAAATACTATCAAGGAGCAGAGAAAGTCTGAAGTTATAGAAGCAAGGCTTAATTTCATGATCTCATCAATAGACAACAGGCAAAAATCTAGGGTCTTTCAAGCATTGTCAACTCATGTTGTAAGCATGAAGGGAAGAAAAGAAAATTTATTGAGAATAGTTCAGAACTCTTCCACTAAGAAAGTAAAAATAGCATTCTCGCTTTGGAAAACAGTATATCTCAAATCTTGCCAGGTAAAATTACAATCTGAGCGAGATGTAGTCTCCTTCTGAGAGAAACAACTAGAAGACAAGAAGGCAGACTATAAATATGAGATTAAGAAGCTGGATATTGGAACGTCAAGGCTTAAAGACCAACTAAATCTTAAAGGAAAGCATGTACTTATGAATGCTCTTGAGAGATGAATCAGAGCTAATAAAGCATCAGCTTTCTCTACATGGAAGGAGAGTACCATAAAGTTGAATATAAGTGTAAAAACCTTACTTTACCTTTTCAAAAAGAAGCAGAGTTGACTTTGTCAACAAGCTTTAACAAGCTGGAAGAATCACATTGAGCTAACTAAAATAGAACTATACTGCCGAAGGGTTGATCAGAATATCAAAGGAAGGCATTCAGAAAACAACTTAGACCATATTGATCTACACAGTCAGACTCCGATAAAATCTGGAGAGAAATATATCAAGAATCTTGAGCTCCAAAAGGCTCATTTCATGAAGAAATCTCATAGTGTAGTCAAACTTAAAAAATCTCAGAAGTCAGGCAGCACTGTGATTGCATCCCAGAGAATCATTTTCGATGGTCTAAAGTTTCTCTCTTCTTCTAAGAGAAAAGGAATAAGAAAATTAGAACAATTTTGGGACAAGAAGACAACCGAAAAAGCACTATTTTTGATCAATTCTGTTTCAAGCATTAAGCATTTTGTGGCAAGAAGGAAGTATGCACTCACAAAAACAGTGAGAATTTTATACATTTCAAGGTAACCCCAAAATGTCACATTTATAGCTTAAAACAAGCATTTAGTAGTTGGAGGGGCACTATTTTACTAAAACACAGCTCTCTCGCTTTCTACTCCCACAAAGAACACCACAAACACACCCAAAACACCCACGCCCACATCCACTCCCTCCAAACCTCCCTCTCCGCTACCTCTCAGCACTCAAAAACCCACTTAACCCTCTTCAAAATTTTCAAATCTCTTCATTCAGCCTGCCTCCACTCAAAACTCCAAAAATCCGCTCTAAAGTCCCTTCTCCATTCCAAACACACCCAAATCCTCCAGCAAGTGTTCAAGGCATTTCACTTGAACTACACTGTAGCAGCAGCCCATTCTCTGAAGGAACAAAGGATCAAGGATTTTATAAGGAGTAATTCTAAGAGAAAGGTTCTACAGAGTTTTAGAACAAATCTTGACAGAACAAAGGAGCTCGCCAAGATGCTGACCAGGGTCTCCAAGAAGGAACAGAACAAGGAGAAGGCAAAAGCTTTAAGACTTTTGGATAGTTTTGGAGTAAGCAGGATGGCAAGTGAGTACCTGCAGAAGGGAAGAGCAGCCAGGTCTATTGTGCAGTGGATTAGGTGTTTTAGGAAGAGAAAGTTGGCCGAGCATTTTGGAGAGATTAAAGAAGAGGGTTATCAAAGATTTGTGAGAAGAAAGTCTCTTGGGAGGTTGTTAAATAGGCTGCCAAGAACAAGACTTCAAGCATCTTTTGCTACATGGAAGATTTTAGTGAAGTCGACTCATTTGGAGAATCAAGTATCTTTGTATGGTCGAAAAGCCATTGATAACTACAATTGTAACCAAGATCTGCACTCAATCATTAATTTTGCTTATGAAAATGCAGGTTTTAAGGAGTAAGATTAATTTAAATTTGCAAAGTTATTTCTTTATCAACAATTTTATTCTAACCCGATTTGAAAATCGTTCGTATTTTTGTAAAATTCCGGATAAATTTTATTCTCATGATATTATAGAAACACTGGAGATATCATTACAGAAGCTCTAAAGAAGGGACAATCACGTGTCCAGATGCTGACAACGAGACCGATTTTTCTTATTAAATCCCGCATGAACAACGATAAGCAGTATCTCAAGATTCTGATCTTCCAAAAATGGAAGGAATGGCTGCACACTAAAAAGGCTTGGAAATACCACATTCAAATGTGCGATGCAAGGCTTAAGAATCACCAGACTGGTCAAAAGAGACTATATTCTGCTTTCCAGCAATGGAAAACTCTTTTTGAGCGCAAAAATCAGAAATTAGGGAAAATTTCGTACCATAACCTTCAAGAAAGATCGATTCAAACCTCTAACCTTACTCAATCTACCAAGATGGTGAATAAACGACAAGATGAGACCATTTATGAGTTAGAGCATCAGAATAAGATATTGATTGGGAATACAATCTCTGGACAGAAGATGGCCCTCCTCACATTTCAAGATAAATACTCAACTGTGCAAAAAAGATTAGCTAAGAAGCACGATAATACTCGTGAAAGAGTCACTAAGGCTTTCAAAACCTGGGCTAGATACACTAAGAGCTTAAAGACTGCCTTCAAACAAGAAGAGCTTAAGAAAAATATGGAGCTGATTGTCAAGCTCAGATTACAGATCAAAGAATATGATATGAGTAATCAAGAGCTCATCATGGAAAATGATGAGCTTAGAACTACTTCAATGGAAGGAATCGCTCTAGCAGAGGTCTGGAAAGAACTATCTGAGAAGATAAAGATCCTTTGAGTTGATCTACAGAGTAAACAAGCTGTGGTAGATTCACTTCAATCCCAGAATTCAGAAATGGCAGTGGATCTTTACCAAAGAGAGAATTACTAAAAGAATTAATTTTCATAAGATTTTAAAAATACTTAGATTTATGAAATTGAGACCATTAATCTGATCATTTCAAAGAAACTGGGCATAAAATTTCCAGCTTGTGGTACGAGTAACCCATAGAGCTTCTCATCTAGTCTCTTCAAAGTTGCATGAACAATCACCTGCTTTTCATTAAGTTTAATTTGAAAATTATATTCTTGTTTCTTCCTATTTCTTTGCCTGCTGCTACTATTTCTGATGCTGCTTTTGGTTTTTCTGGTTGCAAAAATCTCCTCAAATCCCTTCTGGACAGTCTTATCAACATATTCTTTGTCTCTATCGAATTGTAGCAGGTCGTCATTATTTTATTCTAAGTAAATGGTATTTTAGAACCGCCAAGTTCTTCATTTTTGGAGGCAGCTCATCGATAATCTCAAGGAATTCCTTGAAATTTTGATATCTATCCTGTCAATATCACTTCAGATATTCCTTGATTACTGTATTATTTGTGCTCTTCTGGGATATCAGCGAGGCGAAGTAGATCGAATTGCCTCAGTTTCTTGACCTTATTTCCAACACAGACATTCCAGTCGACTACATCAGTGATTTTATTTCCAATATTGCTTCATTACATTGTGTCTATATCGGGAATAAGACATAGTGAAAACCTTAATCGTTCGTAATGATACTATAATATCTGTTTGGCCTACCTTTTGTCTTTCTTGGTGACTACCATTCTTGAGAAATTCTGGATCAGGATGATCTTCTTGTACCAGCTTATGAACCTTTGGTTGATCGTTTGCTTATTTGTAGTATTTAAAAGGAATTTTTTCATAAAATCCATATTATTTCTGCAATATACCAGAATTTGTATGAGTCTTTGAAAGAATTTTGAAGCAATTCTGGATAGTTCTTTGATGTCTTAGAGGAACTTCTTTTGCTACCTTCAGCATTTTTGCTTTGAAACATCGCTGAATTCTGAATGCCATTAAATGCTTTTTGCATTGAATAAGCCATTCTTGTCTCAAAGATGTGAACTGTCCCTTCATATCTCTGAGGATATAAATCAGAAACATCTGCTTTAAGAATCCGGTAGCTCTTAACGTTCGTTTAGTATGTTTGTATTTTATTTGCTCAAATTTCTTGATCAGTCCTTCTTTAATGACCTTCCGATTTGCAGATATCATTTTTATCTTCAGAGATTGTATATCCAAGAGCTCCTTTCTTCTTTGAGCTTCTGCCACAGCCTTCATTCGTCTCTCGTTAAAGAACTTTTGTTCCTCTCTGGAGGAGGAATAATTGTACAATTTATTTCTTGAAGGAATCCTAACCTTGATTCGTTCTAATTTTGAGGCGAACTCCTCTTTCCTTTTATTTTTAATGATTTCAACGCTCTTGAGAAGTTCTTTCTGCTTGTCCTCATTGTACTTCAAGGCCTCGATTTTGAGTTTATATTCCCTCTTTGTATATAAAGTTGGGGTTTTATTATAAGACACAAGCTGTACACTCGACTTGGTATGACTTAAGAAGTTGTTCTGCAACTTCTCAGATTGATACTTTAACAGGATGTGAACAGTACCTGAACTCAGGCACTCTACACCAAGGTAGATATAGCTAGAAGAGAACGAGTTCTTATCAGGAGTCGGATAGTAATAATACACTTTATTCTTCATATCTTTTCCATCTTGAACCATGATGTCATGATCTTTACGATTAGGAAGATGGTTATCCTGAGATATGTAGATATTACAGTGAATCGATGCTCTTAAGAACTTGATCTTAAGAGGAGGGTCCTCCTTTTCTCAGGAAATCTTAAAAGGAATGATCTCACTTCTGATGCCATCAAAAGAGTTGCACACATTCGGTTCCAAAAGTAGGGGTTCTTCATCACCGGTCTTACATATCCTTCTCAGCACAGAGCTCAGTTGTCTAATCTTTGTATATATGTCCTTGAATTCCTTCTTAGTATCTTTATGGGACTCATTGACAAGCTCTGTTTCTTCAATGAATATCTTGTCAACTTGCTTGGCGACTCTTTCATTCTCCATCTGTATTGTATCAGTTATATCTTTAGACCGGTTCCAAGATCTCTCCTGTCAGGAGATATTAGACAGGTTAAGATGCCTAGACCTGTCAGTTTTCAATGGGGAGGAATAAAAGTAATCCTTCGTTCTTGGCTGAGTCCTTGAAATTGTCTGAAGCCTTGTTAGGGATTGGGATTTTTGATCAGCTATAAATAATCATGCTGTGTATTAGAATGCATACTTAGAAGTCCTTTCGACTTGGAGGTGCTCTTTTTCTTCCTCTTTTTGATATGATGGGTCACTGCTTTATTTCAGCCTCATTTTGTTTGCAGGTTTGAGATTTTGGTATGAAGAAAAAGCCGTCTCTCAGACATCTCTTTTAGTGAAGAAAGCTGATTGATGTCTGTGTTTCTGGATACTCTGGATTATCTGTATTGGATTCTGGTTTTTGGTCTCTAGCAAATCTGAGTTCAAGCCGAGGTTTATTGATCCTTTTCTGGGAGGAGTTGGATCAATGAGAGATGGTTTATCATCTATAAATAAATTTTAATTATTACGATTTTTAGAGAAGAAAATTACAAATATTGTGCCAGATGAAGTACCTTTTAGCTTGAAATCAACAAATTTGTTATATACAGTATTTCTGGAGTATGAGGTAGTTTGAATATCTAGCTTCTGGTTTGACCTTAAGGTTCTGTTAGTTTGGAAGCTGGTCTGATTATCTTGCTCGCTTGACCCAATTTCAAGGGAAACTTCCTTCTTCAATATCGAAAATGGGGGTTTCATGTTTCTAAATAAATAATTTTTTCAAAAAATTCTAAAATTCCAGGGGTTTTGGGGTTTTGGGGTTTTGGGGTTTTGGGG